TGCATTTTCCAAATTTCCTTCTGTGATTGCTTATTTCTGTTTTCCACCCCTAGCCCTGCACCCTTTGCCCTGGTCAACTGTTCATCTGGGTCCCCATACTGTATCTCCCCCAGTCCTCTGTCAAAGCCCTGCTTCTGTGCTCACCATGCTTAGGAAGCCCTAGGGGAAGCAGAGGACATGAGCCCTCCTGCAGGTGGCCTGGGGAGCGCTGTGCCACACTATGCCCAGGACCAAATCCTGCTCCTTTACAGTCATGGCAGGAGGTGCCAGCAAATCTCAGAATTCTTCACTGGCATCTTAAGGCCATTGTTTATCTGCACACCTGGCCCAGTTGTAGGCAGTTAATTCCTCAAAGTCTGTGTTATTTCCCAAGCACTTTCATATTTTACAAATGTAATAGTTTTAAGAAACCAGCACTTTCATAGAGAAGCTACTTCTGATAAGGTATAAGACATCACTGAAATAAATTCACTTTTTATGGGTAAAATGCACAAATAAACAGAAGTATATCAAATCAAAGATTTGTTAATTGTTCTGTTGAGCACCTACAGATGCTAGATGGGAATTCATTTTTTAGCTATAATGTGTTGAAAACATATACATAATCATAGCAATAACCCATTTTTCTGATTGTCATATTTTAGACAACCAGAACATTCTGAAACACATCTGTGAACTCAAAAATGATTTGCAAGATAGTTTTAAGTGCTTGTGCTTGACATTTACTTTTCTTTTCTGAGCCCAGAAACTTACTTGTTGACCTAGGTTCCACAGTACTCGTCCTACAATAAAGGACAACTATCATTCTGTATCCTCCTCCCTCCACATCTGTGGACCACCTCAGGGCAGACTCAGGGCGCAGCCTCCACTCCAATCATCGCAGCCCTCAGCCATTCAACCCACTGGCAGCCTGGGACCTGGTGGCCCAGACATCACTGTGTCCCCTCCTGCTGTTGCCAGCACACCGGGAGCCCAGGCACTGCAGAGCATCTGATGGCTGGGGGGCTTGCTTGGGACGGGGGACAGTAATTCCACTTCTACTCTGACGTAGAGCCTGCAGTCACCCTGCATGCCCTGCCTGGAAGCCCAGATCTGGCTAGGTCTGGAGCTGTCCTGCCAGGCCCACTCAGCTCAGGCGAGTACAGCGTGAGTACAGCGTGGGTGACTGAGATCGCTGTGTGCTGACTGCATCAACGCAAGCCCATCGCTTCCCTTCATTACAAAGAGGTGTGAGCCTCTGCATCTCTCTCTTCAGACAAGCCAGTTTGACCTTCCGAAGGCCACCTGGGTGTCTGACTTCACTGAGTAGTTTTAGCTCTGCTGGGGTCACCACCAGGAGAGCAGCGCTGAAGTCAAGATGGTTAGATCTTGGGGCAGGAGGGAAGCAGTCACTGATGAGTGAGGAGGGGTCACAGAGATTAGAGTCCTCTCAAGAAAGGGCCCAAGACAATCACTGAGTGGAGCTGTGAGCCAGGGAGGCTGTTTAGCCTGGACAAATGGCTCTGTGTACTTCAAGAAGCTCCAGAACTTTCCTGAGTGTCAAGTCCAAACATATAGGCAAAATGGTTGGTAAAACTCAGCGAAAAGAACACAGTAAGCTCGGCAAAATTTTACAGTCCTAGAGGATATCAATACATCAAAGTTTAATTCAGTACCATATTCAAAACAAGGACCTGAGTCATTGAAAAAAGGCTAAATGTTATTTACCACGCTCTGTCAACAGGCTGCCAAAAACAAACACATTTTAGAAATATTTCTCTAAACAATGCAGATTTTCTCACAGATGTCAGAGGTTGAAGTAATAAATTTCAGTTGTCTAGATAACAGGGGGTCACCTTATCCCCTAAAATAGAGACATCTAAGGTAGCAGGCACATTGCTTACAATGAATGGGATCAGGGACTTGGGGAAGACCTGATTACGTAAGGGTCTGTGATTTGTTTTTGGTGGTACAGGGGATAGAATGCAGGCAAGTGCTCTACCACCGAGCCATTATCTCCAGCCCTACACAAGGGTCTTAAGGTAAGACGTTCTGGTGAGAGAAGCAACTCTCAGGCACCAGTGTTACCTTGGAGACATCACTCACATCCTGAGCTACCTGGCTCCAAGCCAGATAAACCCCACCACCAAAATTAGACTGGGCTGGCTAGATTTCTGATCGGAACACAACTCCTCTATTTGTCATGGCTGAATGTGCTGCTAGCAGGTGGGGCCTGGGTGGAGGTGGGTCTCTGCGGGTGTGACCTGGAAGGGTGTATTTTGTCTCCACGTCTCCCCTTCTCTCTGCTTTCTGGATCCCTTAGGTTGAGCACCTTTTCCTTTGCCAGGCCCCTCTGCCATCCTGCTCCTGCCTTTGAGCCAGCTGAAACCCTAAGCCAAAATTAGCTGTGGGTGTCAGGTATTTTGTCCCAGTGATGATAAAACGACCAAGAGACCTTGGCTACCCTTTCGGCACCTGATCTGTGGTCCAAGTTCATGGCCACAATTCTTATTCTTTTATTGTTTCTCTTTGCATATCTGGCGGCCACCTCTGGCTCTGCCTCACAGTTCTAGCCCCTGACTCTCAGACTGATTCTAACATTTGCTTCTGGCCATCTGGGGACTGGGTCTTGCCTACATTCAACTGGTTTCCCGATTTCACTCTTCGCCAGGTCAAGGCAGAAAGTTAAACTGAATCCTTGTAACAATAAAATGCTACACTGGGCTTTGCTAGAGCTATTTTGTACATGACTCCAAATATACCCATCTTGTTTCAATTGGGCTCTTCAGTGTAGTACCTCTTGATCTGACTTTTCTCTATCAGGAAACAGTGTATACTAGCATCAGGTGCCCATACCCAGCGAGTTCAATGGTGCAGCCCCTGGATGGTTATAT